GACGGGGAGGGGGCAGAAGAGAGGGACAGAAATTAAGAAAAAAGGAAACAAATCAATCTGCTGATTCCAAATTGTCAATCACGTGATTGTGAGCTTTCTTAGTGTAACTGGTGCAGATGCTAGTGACTGGAAGGCAGTGTGGAGGGGGGGTCTGTTGCGATGTGGTGCCGCAGACTGCAGGCCAGGGCGGTTAGTGGCACAGAGAAGCAGCGGAAATGCACACGACTGGCAGAGCCGCGTCGTCTGAACGAGGCTACGCTCTCTGTTACTGCGAAAATACCACAAGCACAAAGGTAACAGGAAACTGGCAGAGGGCAGAAACGTTACTCTGCCTGGATCATCGCTCAGCCTACTTGTCTGTGTGTCTGCCTGTCTGTCTGTGTGTCTGCCTGTCTGTCTGTCTGCCTGCCTGTGTTTGGGCACAGCTGGAAGGGAGGAGGTGCAGTGGGAAATGGCAAAGTGGAGCTGCAGCAGAGAGCCAGTTAGAGGTCCAGCCAGGAGCTTTTAGGCAGCAGAGCAGCAGCGGTCTGTCTCTATGCTCAGACTGCGTAGCGTTAGCGGGGGAGGGGGGGTTAACCGAGTGCTCATGCGGGGGCAGCTGGACAGGCGTAGCGACTAAAGCAAAGAGATTAAGGAGGTTTACTCTAGTTACCAATCTCTGTTACCAGTCTCAACGCCTGCAGTTTGACTTCTGAGACAGAGTCACATTAATATACTGCATATTAAATTTGCCAAATGGGGAGTACTCTTTAATTATGTATGACCTATGAGAGCAGCATCATTAGAAAAAACCACACTTGTGCTCGGAGCAGAATAAATGAACAAGTCAAACATCCGTTAAAAAAAGACACATCGGCAATGAATTATACTTCTGTGTTTAAACAACTGTGTTGAAATATATACTGCACATACATTTACATAAATAAATACATAATTAACAAAAAGAGGAGAAACAAGTTAGTAATTGAAGACTTAAAATGACATTAGCACCTGTAATCGGTGGAAGGGAAAGGCAAGGGTTTGGAAAATATTCTCTGTGTTCTGGAAAAAGAAAAGAACAGATACAGGCCTTTAAAACGGATCAGGACCGAGGTGAGCGCAAGTACACGATCTCTGTAAGTCTCCTTTGACGTACAAAAAACTGATGAATCAGAAGAACTCAGAATCAATAATAATAATAATAATAATAATAATAATAATAATAATGATGATGATGAATTAGAATTAGCAAACCTCCTTAATAGAGAGATGTGGGTGATTTTATGTTTTTGACAAAGCATGCATCAGCGCAGTCAGCAACAGCCCAAGTTAAACACACTCATAACACGTACATCACCAGTCACACTAAAGCACAGGCATGACGCTGCACAGTTCAGTCAAAAATATAACAAACATCTGGACGACGATCCATTTCAAAGCATCACAACGTTGGTACCAGGGCAGGGGGTCATGCAATGCCAGTTAGTCATCAGTATTTAAAATGGAGCAGAAACAAGCAAGCTGATGTTTAAATGTTGCATTAGATAATGTGTCAGGCAAGGCATGAAGAAAAGCTGGTGGCTATTCCCCATTATAGGATATAACCATAGTGACATGGCAGTTAACCCCCAACACATGATATAACCATGGTGATATTACGGTTATCTCCTATCATAGGATGTAACCATAAAAACATGATTGCTATCCCCTTCAGAGGATGTAAGCATGGTGGCATGATGGTTATCCCTCATCACAGGATGTAACTATAGTGACAGGATTATTATGCCCAATCGTAAATGTACACCACAATGACACAATGGCCATCCACTATTATAGTAGGTACCATAGTCAAAACAGAAATGAAATGGTGACTATCCTATAAGTACTATGACCATAGTGACATGATGGCTATCCTGTATTCAGAGGTAACCATAGTGCCACGATGACTGTCCTGAAGTCAAAGGTAACCTTAGAGGCATGATAGCTACCCTGTAGTCAGAGGGGACCATAGTGACACAATGGTTATTCTATAGTCAGAAGTAACCATAGTGACAGGATGGCTACCCTGTAATTAGAGGGAACTGCAGTGATACAATGGCTATTCTATAGTCAGAGGTAACCGTAGTGACACGATGGTTATCCTGTAGCCAGAGGTAACCATAGTGACACAATGGTTATACTGGAGTCAGAGGTAACCATAGTGACATAATGGTTATCCAGTAGTCAAAGGTAACCATAGTGACACAATGGTTATCCTGTAGTCAGAGGTAAACCATACCAACACGATGGCTATTCTGTATTCAGAGGTAACCATAGTCAGGTGATAATTATCCTTTAACATAAGAGGTAATAATAGTGATAGGATGGAGATCTTGTAACATCAGAGAAAATCTTAGTGATGTGTTGGTTATCCTGTACTATAACACGTGACCACAGTGATGTGATGCTATCCTGTACTATAACTGGTAACCACAGTGATGTGATGCTACCCTGTACTATAACTGGTAACCACAGTGATGTGATG